TGGATCAAATCTCAGGTTCTTCGCGGGAGGCTTTTCTGGACTTCAGGCTTTCAACAGTCGGGTAGTTGGATTTGGCGGAGGCTTCTAAAGCTTCGTCCGCTAGCTCGCCCCTTTCTTTTTTGTCAGATTTAGTCCGGTTCTGTGGCATCCTTTTGGCACAATGATTGGACTAACCTTGCCCCCTTGATTGATATCACCGGCCCTAATGGTCCCATGATCTCAGGCATTCCTCTCCTTTCCTCGGTTAGGAACGCTTGTAAGGATGGTGTTTGGTCTATTTCTCGTGGCAGGCATCCAACTATCTCTATGCTTCGTGCCTGCCTTCCATCTAAAATTCCTGAGTCCTTGTCCTCTACCGATGATGTTTTCCTGTGGAGGAACTCCTATGGTAAGCCTCCTGGAATCTTCTCCTCTGCTGCTACTTGGATCTCCCTCCATCCTGTTCCTCCGCCTGTTTCTTGGTTCAGGGCTGTCTGGCCCTCTATTAGAATTCCAAAGCACTCCTTTCTTTTATGGATTGTCTTCCGAGATCGGTTGCCTACAAGAGATCGCCTTATAAGCTGGGGTCTTGATGTTACTCCAACTTGTCTGCTGTGTGACTCTTTTTGCGAGTCCAGAACTCATCTATTTTTTTAGTGTGATTACTCCAAAGAGGTTTTTCAATCGGTTTTCTCACATCAGGATCTTTCGCCTCCAACGGCTCTTGGGGATTTGGCTACTTGGATTCAATCCTCCGCTTTTGCTAAGAAATTGAAAGTGGTCTGCAGCCTGGCTCTACAGGCAGTGGTTTATTATTTGTGAAAAGAGAGGAACTCTAGACTCCATAACTCTGCTTCCAAACCTGTTCAGGCGATTATTAAGGAACTCTTTTTGACTTTGCGTGCTAAACTTGCGGGTTTGGATACTTCGGCCCGTTCAAGGCATTGTCCGACGTCTTCAAATCGTACCGCTCTTACGGACTCTTATCTATCAACCTGGTTTAGATTTTTCCAGCCATAACTTCTCCGGAATCTGGTCTTCTGGTTATCTGGTGCTTGATGTCACGGCGCTTCCTCTATCTTGCGTTTTTTTTTAAATATTATTTTAGGTTTCCTTATCTAATCTTATCCTTTGCATTAATTTTCTTCACTTTGTTCACATTTGATGTAATTTCAAAAAATGCCTTTTGAGGAAAGAGGGAAAGGTGAATAAAGGAAAGTTTAAAAAAGAAAAAAAAAAGACGTAAAATATGAAAATTTAAAAAAAAAAAATCTTTACGATGAAATAATTACAAAATAGAGATTTGCTTGTTCATCTATATATAACCTGTTGAGTGAATCGTTTAAGTAAACATATATATATATATATAGGCTTCTCGTTGACCTAAATGGCGAAAGCAGCTTTGTTCCAAGGGACTGGTTAGTTCGTCTTGAAAAAATTAATTTTAATTTGCTTTTTGAAAATTTATGTAAGAGTAGAGAGCCAATCAGCCAAACGATGCTAATTATAAGTAAACTGATTCAAGATGGATAACTGTACCAGATTTAGACCTGTTTCTATATAATTAAACCAGTGGCCGACATAAAAGTCTTCTATAGATTAAGCTGAAAAGTTGACGAATATCAACTAAACTGGTTGAACAAACCATGATCTTTTAACCCCAACAAAAAAAAAGAAAACCATGATCGTAGCAATATAATTAACCTTTCTCTCGATGGTTTTGAGGAAAATCTGACTAAACTGATGAAAGCCAAATTAACCGGTCTCATGCCTTTATTTTTTATTTTTATTTTAATAAAAATGTTAAGATTTTATTACCATTTTTGAGTTTTTGACAAAATTACAAAGAATATAAAGAATATAAAGAAAACAGATTAACCGAAAAAAAACTACAGACAATAAAACCACAACCAAGATAAAACAGACACGAAAACTAAGAAAACGGTTAACGAAGATAATAAAGATAACCGAAGCAAAACCAAACACGAAAGCAGCAATCACACGCCGAAACGCAGACTATCTTATTTTTGCCATAGTTCAAAAGAGCTAGAATTCTCATCTTTATTACCACGAGCATCACATTCTTTAGGCCAGCCTTCAAACCTCCGGGAAAAACGCCTACAACTTCTCCGAGAACTAACAAGATTTCCGAAATCCATAACAGACTAACATGCATCTGTCGACAAGGGAGCCCGAGCGGGCAATTGAAAAGTCACCTCCAACCACCATTCCCAAAAAGAACGAATCTCCTCAAAACCAGCCCCTACAGCTACACGTTAGCCACCACAACAAATCGGCACCTCAACATCTCACGCCTCAACATCTCACGCCTTTATGGACATAACTTCTCAAAACGACGTGTTGTTTTCCCGCGGTATAAACGTCATTGCATTGTGAATTTCAAGCTTGACTCGTGTTCTTCCATAATTTAAGGGGAATATAAGACAATTATAATATATGTTGCCTTAGGAACGTTTCTGGTTTTGCCACTTAGGAGCGTTACTTCAATTTCCTTAACTATTGAACTTGACGTTACATTAGATATTTTATGTCGACAACACGAGCCAACATCAACATGACATGAACTTATGGCGCGTAAAGTGTGAGTTACTAGAAAAAAAGAAGTAAGTGTGTATACGTATCACAAAAATTGCATATAGATGCAGTGCAAAAGTTAAGTCTATAGACTAAAAGTGAAAAAGACAAGAAATAAGTACTCAGAAAATAAAAATAGAAAATAGAAAATCGAAAGGCGGGAGATTGGCTATAACGACGTTAATTGTAACGACAAACCATCGTGTACGTCCATGTCAACTGCATCATAGTTTCTCTTTTTACAAGAAAAAAATGCTAAAAAATACTTCATTTATTTAATTTTTGGAAGAATGACTCACGGAACTTTTAGCGTTGCCAGAAACTCATCTAAACTATTTTTTGATGCATAAAAATACATAAATATTTTAAAATTCCATTTTCCCCTCTCTGATATCACGGTCGTTAACGGACATAACGGAATCAATAAACAGCGTTAATTTTTTGTAGGAAAAATGCTAAAAATACCTCAACTATTTAATTTTGTCAGAAACCCACACAAACTTTTTGCATTGCCAGAAATCCACACAGGCTATTTTTTAATCTATAAAAATACCCAAACTTTTTAAAGTTTTATTTTCCCTCTTTAAGTTTCACTTGTAACACGTGCTAACTACTCTAGGATTGATATCATTGTTACTCTTAGAAAATCTTCAAATCGATTTGGGAAAGAAAAATCTACACCCTAATTTTTTTCTCTCTTTTAGAAATTGAATGAAATCGATTGAAAAATATGGTTGGTAGTATAAATCGAGTCAGAAACAGTGTGTATTGTGATATATAAGACTAATAAGAACAATTCAAGGAGATGATGTATATGTTCTAAACATGATTTATTGCTCTATTAATCACATTTTCAACCGATTTCACTCAATTTCTGAAATAGTGAGAGAAAAAATTAGAATTTAGGTTTTTCTTTTTAAAGGTAATAATGGTATTAATTTGACAGTAATTAACACGTGTTATGGAAAATTAACGCAGTTTTTCGATTTTGTTATGTCTATAATGACCGTGAAACTTGAGGAGGGAAAATGGAATTTTGAAAAGTTTGTGTATTTTTATAGATTAAAAAAATAGTCTGTGTGGATTTCTGGCAATGTATAAAGTCTGTGTGGGTTTCTGGTAAAATTAAATAGTTGATGTATTTTTTTAGCATTTTTTTCATACAAAAAATTAATGCTGTTTATTGATTCCGTTATGTCTGTTAACGGCCGTGATATCAGAGAGGGGAAAATGGAATTTTAAAAAATTTATGTATTTTTATGCATCAAAAAATAAGTTTAGGTGGGTTTCTGACAACGCTAAAAATTCGTGGGTGATTCTTCCAAAAATTAAATAAATGAGATATTTTTTGATATTTTTTCTCTTTTTACAATAGTCAATAATTGTTACTTGTTTGTAACAAAAGTAGAGTATGATTACAAGAAAAAGGTTGCTAAAAAAATGAGAATAATGTTATTTGTTCTACTTTAAGAAAATAAATAACGTGTCTATAAATTTTTTTAAAATGAGAATATACATTTTTTTTGTTCAATGAAATATACCAAAGGGTAATAAGATGGTAACCGAATCTTGGATATTTTTCGTGTTCTTTCTAGAGCCATTGGTTTCTAGAAGAAATATAGAGAACGAATTGACTTTGCTTCCATGAGACACTGAAACACACCACCTGTCCAAAATCTCCACGATTCTCTCTTCGTTTTAATTTAATTCTAACGTATTAAATAACGTACGCATACGCATGCATGAGAGATATCTGTAACTGTAAGGTTATATATAATTATATCTCCAAATTTTGACTCGATTTCAAGACTTGCTTTGAGCTGGTCTGAAGGCAAAGCAATCTTTGGAAACATTACTAATAACTTTTAACTTTGTTCGGAGTCCTAAAACTAATATTGAGGTGAAATTAAACACCCAAAAATTACTGAATATAGTGGACCATGACTAAGTTTAAACAATCTGAACAAAGAAACATGGTTTTTCCCGTTGAATTCTTAACCATATAACACATGAAATTAGTTAGTTTGAACGTTGTATACAAACCTTTAGGGAAAATTACCTAGAATAACCTATTTTGTTCTTGAAATAGCTAGAATAACCCATGATATATTTTAAGTTTGATTATTTTATATGAATTTTATGCAAGTGTGACTTTCTACTTTTTATACTAATTTTATAGGCCAAAAGCAATGTCTTGTACCTTAATATAGAAAACTGCATAGTTGTGTCACATCTCACAAAATGTGCATATGCAATTCAACATCTCTAAATTCATAAATAATACATAGTTATCAATGTATTAACCCAATTGTTACCTAAACAATATAACAAGTAATTAAATATTGAATATTAATACAATACAATCATGTAACGTCCTATATATATGGCTTGCGAACACAACGTAAGAAACATATGTAAAAAGAAAACAAAAAATGGCAGTTTCATCACATCATGTAGTTCTCTTCCCTTACATGTCAAAGGGCCACACAATCCCTCTCCTCCAATTCGGCCGTCTCCTCCTCCTTCACCGCCGCGAACAAGCAACCATATCCATCACCGTCACCGTCTTCACCACTCCTAAGAACCAACCTTTCGTCTCCGACTTCCTCTCCACCACACCGGAGATCAAAGTCATCTCTCTCCCTTTCCCCGAAAATATCCTCGGAATCCCTCCCGGTGTCGAGAGCACCGACAAGCTCCCTTCCATGTCACTCTACGTGCCCTTCACGCGCGCCACGAAGCTTCTCCAACCTTTCTTGGAAGAAAAACTCAAGAATCTTCCGGAAGTTTCCTTCATGGTGTCCGATGGATTCCTCTGGTGGACATCTGAATCGGCAGCTAAGTTCAAGATTCCAAGATTGGTCTTCTACGGCATGAACTCTTACGCATTTGCCGTCTCCATCTCGGCTTCCGAACACAAACTCTTCATTGAACCGGAAATTGAATCTGCTACAGAACCGGTCACTGTACCAGACTTTCCATGGATCCGAGTCAAGAAGTGTGAACTCAACCATGGTACTCAATCAAGTCAAGGGGCCGAACTATTCATGGACCAAATCATATCGACCAATAAAAGCTATGGGTTTTTAATAAATAGCTTCTACGAGCTTGAGTCAACATTCGTCGATTACAACAACAACTCTGATAGACCAAAGTCGTGGTGTATAGGGCCGTTGTGTTTGACAGACCCCCCTAAACCGGAGCGTGTTAAACCGGCTTGGATTCATTGGTTGGACAGGAAAGAAGCGGAAGGACGTCCGGTTTTGTACGTGGCGTTTGGAACGCAGGCAGAGATATCGAACAAGCAACTTGAGGAACTAGCTTTAGGCTTGGAAGATTCCAAGGTACATACCCATAACTATAGACTATGATCCAATCCAAATACTATGGTTACAAAAACATGTCTATTCATTATTCATCATATAAAAGCTTTTTTGATTAAACCGTTCAAGGAAGGTTTTGACGACACACACACAGGAATTAGGCGTTAGTTATTCTTTAAGTAGACAAAAGAGTTTTGTCAACTTAATTCCATGACTTTAGTTTGGAGTGTTACTGGCTACAACTTGGCAGAAAGTTTAATTTATAAAAGCGAATCTCGATCGGTACAAAAAAAGCGTTATTATTTTATGACGTGGTTTGATTGTATTAGGTAATTTTTGTGTGGATCACAGATTCACAATAGATGACGTGAAACATTCAAATTCTAAAAAGAAATAATTAATCTATGCCATGCAATGGTTACAAAATACAGATTTTTTTATTAATATAAACTTCTGATTGAACCTTTATAGTAGACATATAAGCGCTTTTCGTCGACATAGTTCCATGATTTTTGTACAACATGCATTATGCAAAATTAAATATAGCTATTAATGTAGTAGCAACATTAATACAAACCACTAAGCTTCATATCTTAGTTTTATTATTATTTTAGTTTAAATAGTGATTATGCAAGTTTTAATTGTACGAATGGTTATAAATGAATGCATATGACTGAATCAATAATTTGATGTTTTTTTCATGGTGTTTGTTTTTTTTAAGGTAAACTTTTTATGGGTCACAAGAAAAGACGTGGAAGAGATTATTGGAGAAGGATTCAAAGATAGAATAAAGGAGACTGGGATGATAGTGAGAGATTGGGTGGACCAGTGGGAGATATTGTCGCATGAAAGTGTCAAAGGATTCTTGAGTCATTGTGGATGGAACTCAGCGCAAGAGAGTATATGTGTTGGGGTCCCATTGTTGGCTTGGCCAATGATGGCGGAGCAACCACTCAACGCAAAGATGATAGTGGAGGAGATAAAGGTTGGAGTAAGAGTGGAAACCCAAGACGGGACTGTGCAAGGATTCGTGACAAGAGAGGAACTAAGTCGAAAGGTATCGAGCTGCAAACATAAGTGTTTCTTTTAATTTTATTTTATTCATAGATCTAATAGTACGACATAATTTAATGGTAATTAACCACATTTTTCATTTTTAAGGCAAATATATTTTTTTTCTATAAGATTTTTTTTTTTAACTTGGAAAGTATTAACCTTTAGCTAACTTTTTTGAATTTTTTTTTTTTAAAAGTTTGTCAAAATGATATTTTACTTCTTTGTTTGGACACAAATTTAAAATACCATTCAAGATTTAATTACCAAAAAAGAAAAAAAAAATCATGGACCCATCTATTTATTTATTTCTTTTATTTTTCATAGAAATCCGTTCAAAACGATGAGTTAATTTTACAGTTATGTTTTGGGGTTATCTCAATTTTTTGTAAGTCTTATAGATATATTTATTTCACAGATTCAAGAACTAATGGAAGGAGAAACGGGAAAAACCGCAAGAAAGAATGTGAAAGAATACTCAAAAATGGCAAAAGCAGCTTTGGTCCAAGGGACTGGTTCGTCTTGGAAGACTTTAGATTTGCTGCTTGAAAAACTATGTAAGAATAGCTAGAGAGCCAAACGATGTTAATAGGTAATTTAAGTATGAAGATTGATGATTGATAATTGAACCGGTTTTAGACCTTTTGAAATAAGTGATATAACGACAATCAATACCAATAGATGTATAATTCTTGCTTTACTTGAAAAGTCGATCAATACCAACTTAACCGGTGGAACAAACCCTAAAAGGTCTTCTTCAACTTGGGCTTCAAAACCGGTTCCTTCTTTCTGAGCAGATTCCTTATTAGGCCTCTTGCAAACCAGGAGTTTAAACTAGGCCTGAATTTTTCGGGAAGGGTAACTCATCCCATCCCGTATCCGTCCCGAAATTCTCAAATTTTTTGGGAAAGGAAAATTGTAATTTCCCATTCGGGTTTGAAAATAATATTTGAATGGGTAAGGGAAAGGGTAGGGACGGGAATGGGATAACCCAAACTTCCCATTGGATAATTATATAAGTGAAATTTTAGAGATTTCGGTTAATTGAAATTTTTTTTTAATAATAAATAATGAATTTTCTAATTAACAAATAATAATATTTTAAAAAACAAAAATTGATTATAGTCTAATTATCTTAATTATTCGAAATTTTTCCCGTCCCTTTTCCGTTCTTTTCCCGTCTCTTTCCCGGTTATATTTTATTTTGGGATTGTATGTGTAGTATGTTTTGATTCCCGAATTTTCTGTTCCCGTCTCATACCCGTAAATTCTCCTCTCGTTATTTTGTGGGAATACTTTGGGTACTATATATATTCAGATTCCCGAAATTTCTATTCTCATTCCTTACCCGTTAATTTCCGTCCCAATTCCCAAAATATTCAGGCCTAGTTTAAACCACCATTTTGGCATAATTGTTAAAAAAATCATCCTAAAAACTAGAGATGGAGGAAATCAAACTTCGGGTTTTCTAGCTTTCAAATTTTACAAGATTCTCTAGGCTGTGATCATGAAAGTATCCAGACCTTAAAGCTATATCTAAACTAGCAAAATATGTTATAGACTTATAGGTATAGTTGAATTAACTATAAAAAACTTAAATGTCCCTCTTGAGAGACGATCTATCATACTGTATTGTATTTATTTCTTTCTTTCATTACAACTTACTCACTATGTTGAAACTTTTGTGTTGATGCATGCATTTAGTTGCATGACTATTTCCCTATATGTGGTGAATTGAAATGGGAGAATGCATCCAAAAAGAAAAACATCAACTTGGTGTCTCGTGTTCAACTTCATTTTCTAAACGGGATTTCTTTCTTGTGCTTTTCGATTTGATGTAGATGAAATCTCAAAAAATTCAATTCTCATTTGTGAAAAGCTGAAAGCAAGTGAAATGAAGAAAAGAAGAAGCTGAAAATGCTCACAGTTTTCTGGCTATCTTTTAAATGGCCAGAATTTGCTTTATGATATTTATGTATGTATGCTTAATGGTAAATAGTGACTTACCCTTGTGTGATTATGGGCCGGTCAGTGGACTAGGATGGTGTTTACGGGATACCATTGGACAACTTACTACAGGTCATAGAGGGTGTTATAGAAGCCTCTCGGCACTATACGCGGATCGCTAGACGGGCTCATCTGGGCAATGGCATGCCTAAGAGAAAAACACATTGTATCAGCAGGTTTTGAGACAGATTGGGTGGAGCTTTTGAAGATGACGGAATGTCCGGAGGAGGATTGGCCAACTTTTCAAACAGAGCTAGACTACTTTGCTGACCTTAGAGGATACTTAGTGATGTTTAGGGTTGAGTAAAATTTCTTGTAGTCAAAATGTCTGGGTCGACGCCCTTGCAAAAGCAGCATGAGCATGAGACTATATCTTTTCCCATATAAGTCAGACAAAACGGGTATGAAATGGCCTTTCAGGCAATTACCATAGCGGGTTAACTTGATTTTACGTATGGAGTTAGTTAACAAAAAAAAAAAAAGTGACTTACCTTTGTGGAATAATTCATCTCTATATTATTATTTAAGCAGTTATTTAAAAAAAACATTTATTTTGTGAATTATTACATGATATGTCATTTAAATAACAAAAAAATTAAATAGAAGGATATAATTATCTTTCAAATATATTAAAAAATATAAAAAATCTTTGTTTCTCATTTAATAAAGTATATTTACTATTTAATTTATGAATTCAAAAATAAGATAATTTATTAGATTATTCATTTTAAATGATATCATATAGTATATTCAATTAAAAAAACATAATAAAAAATCAACTAAATAATGTAATAAGTCAAGATTAAAAGTTATGATATTAGAAAAGTGGTGAGATATTTTTTACTATAATTTGCTATATTTACTTGATTATACACAAAAATAAATTTTCAGTTATTTGTACTAAAAATTTGACATGAGAAAACATGAATATACCTCCTATGTTTCATTAAAAAAAACATATTCATAGAAAAGAAATATAGAAATTTTTAACACTATTTCACTTTTACAACTTTTAGTTTATAAAAATCAAATTTATGTAATAAACTACGAACAATTTATTAAAAATTAAATTCAAAAAATAAATAATATAGCTGTCAAAGCCATAATTTCATTCTACAAAGACGTAATGTATGCTATAATTATGCAACATTTCTAAAAAAATTAAGATTTTTTTTGAAAAATTATCATTTAAAATAAAAAATAGCCCGCACTACATATATTATTTGAGTACGTATTCTAATTAATGAACTTTATTTTTGTAAAATATTACATAGTATGTCATTATAAATATAAAAAATAATAAAAATAAAAATAACATAATTATGTTTTAAAATTATTGAATCAAATATGGAAAGTATATGTTTTCTATTTATGAGATGAATTATTATTTAGTTTGTTAATTATTGTAATATTAAAATTAATATATATTTAAATAATAATCAATTCATATATATATATTTTCAAAAACTCTATTCTAAATCTTGCGATATTTTTACTATAACTTACTATTTTTTTTGAATATATATAAAAGAAATTTATTATGTTGAAATATTTTTGATCTTATAAGATGTTAACAAATTCAGAACAATATTGATTTACATAGCTTCTTTTTTATAAAAAAAACATTCATAGAAAATAAATTTAGAAATATTTTAACACTATTTCACTTTTACAAATTGTTAGTTTATAAAAATCTAATTCTTGTAATAAACTAATAAAATTTTATTATCAGTTAAATTAAAAAAAAATTCTGTATTATATTTTGATTCTTTAAAGATGTAATATATTATAATTATGTAACATGTATAAAAAATTGAGAAAATTTAAAAAATATATCGTTGAAAATAAATTAATTGTCCAGTAGAGCAGGTTAATTCCTGGTAATATATTACGATACAAACTTACTATATCAAAATGTAGCATCAACACAATAAATAAATAAAAAAAACAAACCAAATGCAATATAATAAAAGAAAAATAAAGATAATTTTGAGTGGTCTTTGTAGTTAAAATCCCCTTTGATGTTTGCTGCCATGGTTTTGCAGAATTCGCATACTCTTCAATTTAGAAAGAAAAAAAAAAATCAATAGTTAATGTATTTTCAAAAAAAAATGTTTGTTAATGTTTTATAAATTATTTTGAATAGGATATACTCACTTGCTGTGTTTACTCGCAAACTATTTTGTTGCGCATTTTCCATGAACAAGGGCATTATCCACCTTGCATGAATAACCAAGAGAATTAAATCTCCATCCTCCATACACAGCCTGCACCGTGGTAGACTGAATATCCATCACAGTTTCTTAGGATGGTGTAAAATCCACGACATCTTCAATAGTATTCATTATATATTTATACTTTTTAAATACTAAAATGTGTCAAAAAAATTATTAGCATTTAATGTTTACTCATCTAAATTTTTTTTCAAAAAAAATTAACTAAACGTATCGAGTATTGTTAATTTAAAATGTTTTCAATCCGTATACATTATATTGTATACATTATTATATTATTTATATATATATATATATATATATATTAAAAGATATGTTTTTTTCTTAAAAAAAGGATGGATTCTATTTTTTTATTTTTTTTAGCGCACAATAGTTCCATCAAGAGCTATTCACTACATCTAATAATTCCAATATCTTATTACATAATAAAACTGGATATTTTAATGTGAATGAGACATATAAACAAAATTAAATTCATGAGATTGTGACATGTGTTGTTGTTAATTAAGATCGTGACATGTGCTAATTTAATAATAGAAACCTTTTATTTTTAGTTATTTACTTCAAAAATATATTTAATAAAATTACTAAATAAAAAACTAAAATAAGTTAAAAAATAGAAACTAATGAAGATTATGTACCTATATACTTCTTTGGAATAGCTAGGGCTTATATATTGCAAATCCTTTAAAAAACTAAGGCTAATATTTTGGTGTTTTCTTTTCCTCAGATATATATATTATCGAGGATACAAAATTATGAATTCTTATATTATATTGTGGTGGAAAAAGTGTGTTCATCCTTCACAAAAGTTAAAAAAAAATTGAATAATGGTTTGTTTTTACTTATGTTTTACTTATATATTTATTTAGTTTTGCTTATATTTTGCTTAATTTTATGTTTTTACCATTTTCACTTCAAAATATGGCATTAATTTATTCTAATAGAAATTTTTAGTTAGGTTTTTTTTAGATAGATAAACCTAACTAATCAGATATAATAGAATTCTATGTAAGAAACAACTGCAAAAAAATTATCTTTAAAGAACAGAGTTAATTATTTTTAGAGATAAACAGTTAATTAAATTAGAAATATGAATGCATAACTTACGAATATATACAAGCAATTCTTCACTCAGTTTTTTAAATTTTCCTCATTTAAAAGTTTCCAATTCTAAACCTTTTTTTTAATAGGTGACTTTAAGACAAGTATTTTTAGGTTTATGGGTTAATGAAGCTTTTTTAAAAAAAAACTTAAAAAGTGAGCCTCTGACAAAATGGAAAGGCGCTAAAAAGGCAAGTATTTTTAGGTTTATGGGTTAATGAAGCTTTTTAAAAAACTTACTATAGAAAAAAGAGTGAACCTCTTTGTAACATTATCATCAATCGCCTTCAACATATCTAGTTTTCATTATAATTTGTATTACTGTATTTGAATAAATATATATATATATATATAATACAATTAGATCTGCTCTTCATAGACAAACTTGGGATTTGCGATCCCAGGTAAGATCGGTTCAGGATCATGGGATCCTTTTCTATCAGATAGGAACGATGGTTGTGTCTTTTTATTTAATTTTTTAAAATAATAGAAAAAATATGAGTGAACCGTTGTGTCTTATCATTTAATATTATTTTTTATTGTACATTTTCGTGTATTATTACAATTTCATAAAAGGTTATTATTCTATGGTTGTTTTTTCATTTTTTTTTAAATTATACATTGTCATGTATAACTACTAATTTTATGATGTTACTATTGTATGTTTGTGTCTTTTCGAGTTAGGCTACTTTGGCTAAGGCTTATAGCCATATAATGTAAGTCACGACACCTAGACGTTAGATGTAGCATATACATGAGTTGATCACTCATGGGATAATTACCATAGGATTTGTTCGGTCTCAACGAAATCTAGCGGATCACTTGAAAAAAACTATTACCTAAGGACTTGGTGATCATGCTGGTTAAAGGGATGAGATTAAAGTCCATTTTAAATCTTTAGTGATAGGATACCCAATTCTCCTTTAATACAACGTTAGAGGCTGAATTTAATGTGGAACACTTATATCATCCTAAAGTAAGTGCTTAGACCTGCAAAAGGATTAGGATGAAGGTTTCTTCTTAATAAATCTTTGAAAAACTGCATTTTATGCAGGTCCAAGATTAAAAGTATCTACCTATATAAGTGTGAAGTGTTGCCACTTCAAGAAGTTAGGACTTGGCTTTATATATACTCATGAATGGATATGGACATATGGCTTATAATAGTGTCTAGTATAAACGCTTAGAGTAGTGTGAAAATTTGTATGTGTAATATCTTCATGTGCCCAAAATGAGTTGAAATAATTTAATCCATAGGTCATCCTGATTCTCGGGCATTTGGAATGTGTAATATCATTATGATAAAAATTCAATCGTCAAGATATTTTCATTTATGCACGAATTTGGTATGTGTTTTGATTATTTAGTGAATCTATTATTACACTTAAATGGGAGATGAATGTTAGAGATTTAAGTGTTACAGTTAGTTTAGTTAACCATTCTAACTCTTGAGTTTATAGTTATTTTACTAAACATTGCAATTTTTGAGATTATGATTATTTTACCAACCATTACAACTTTTGATTTTATGGTTATTTACTAAGCATTGCAACTCTTGAGTTTATGATTAATTTACCATAAGTTTATGGTTATTAAACCATCACAACAGTTGGGATTATGGTTATTATAAACCATTGCAGTTATTTCTTTGTACCCCTTGAAATTCTATAAAAGATTGAAAAATTTTTGAAGAGAAAAAGATAAGAGAAAGTTATTGCAAACAACAACAAAAAAAATAACATAGTAAGAAACAAAGAAATATCTATTTGTATATCTTGTTCCTTAGCCTAGAACTAGAGGGAAACTTTGATTATATTATCCTACAAGGGAATTCGTATAACCCAATACTTCATAAGGGTAAAAAACTCTTTAATGAAAGTGCTTCGTACATGATTCAATCATTATTCAATTTCACAATTTATTTTAAGATCTCGGTTCAATCACAACATTTTTTATTAATAATAACAATAGAAAAAACTACAAAAAACTGTTGGTTTCTGAACAACAATGATCGTATCAAATTCTTGAATAACTTGTTCTTAGCAGGCATTACTTTGCATATGTGAAAACATAAATATAATATAACTTTACTCAAGAATGGCCAGTATTTGATTTATACTTGGAGGAGTTTGTGAAGAGTAAAGAGGCTTTCAAGTTTTTTTTCTTCTTTCTTCTATTTCACACATTCCACGGGCAAAGAATATGAAGGTAGACAACTGAGCATGAAATTCTCGGATCGACCCTCATGATGTCATATATGTTAACTCGGTACCACCGGTTTGGATTACTAAACTGTTCTAGGTATCTAGGCTGTCGACCAAAAAAATACTTTACACAAAATTGAATAATTAGGAGCTGACATTATACCGTCCGCAATATTCATGCAGTTCCTCAGTATTATGAATGCATTAGTTACTTCAACACCTTCGCTTCTCAATTTTCCGTACGAGTACTCTTTATCTTCTGATTCCTTCATTTATATGAAACCATAAATATTAAAAAATTGTAATTATTTTGGTAAATATATCACTAAGATGTGTTATTTATGCATGAATTTGGTATATGTGTTATTTATTTAGTGAATCTATGATTACACTTAAATGGAGAGGAATGTTGGAGATTTAAGTATTACAGTTATTTTAGTGAACCATTGCAATTATTGAGATTATGATTATTTTACCAATCATTGCAACTCTTTAATTAATGGTTATTTATTAAACATTTTAACTCTTGAGTTTATGCTAATTTTACCAATCATTGCAACTTTTGAGTTTATAGTCATTAAATCATTGCAACTGATGAGATTATGGTTATTCTAAACTATTGCATTTATTCCTTTGTACCTCTTGAAATTCTATAAAAGATTAAAAAATCTCTGGAGAAAAATAGATAAGAGCAAGTAATTGCAAAAACAACTAAAAAAACAACATAATAGCAAACATAGAAAACTCTATTTCTATCACTTGTATCTTAGTCTAGAACAAGAGGAAAATTTTGATTGTCTTATCCTATAAGGGATTTCGTGTACCTCAAAGCTTCATAAGAGTCATAATACACTTTAAGAAAAGTGTTTCGTACACGATTCAATCATTATCCAAGTTCACAATTTTATTAGATCTCGGTCCAACTAGGCCTGGGCATTCAGGTATTAGGGTCAGGTTCGGGTCGGAACCGATCGGCTTCGAGTCTATCGGGTAAGGAGATGTGCTACCCATATAGGAACCGACTGAATTTTGGTTCGGTTTCAAACATATTTTTTGGGTCGGTTTGGGTGTTAAAGTTTAGAACCAAAAAAATCGGTTCTTGAGTCGGTTTAGTTCTAAAGGACCCGAATAATAAAAATGTAACCGAAATAACAAAAAAAAAAACAAAAAAATGCAATATATCCAAAATATAAAACAATGAAATTTAAAGTTGAATCCTTAATGTAAAACATATCCGAACAAGAGACATCAAACATTCTACAAAGTTCTTTCAACCATTGATACAAATACACAAAGCACTAAAACATGCTCACCAAACTAGTTCAAAGTTGAAACTTGAAACTTAAAACATAAAGTAGTGAAGAAAGAGTAGAAACCAATTCTTCCTGTGACATTCAAGATCGATTCATGCCTTCATGTCTTGTAGTCCTAACATATAAACATATAAAGGGTTTAGTCTTAATCAACGAATGCCAATTTCACCAATCACCACATCACTGTTTTTTGCGAGTGTGAATTGGTTTACCTTAAAGCAGATTCAAACTTGATTTCACTTCTCACAGTCTTCCGTTAGCTCACGTTAAATCAGGATCATTCTCTACAGAAACTAAACAAACAAAAAACATGAATCAAGCATTGAAACTTATAAACAAGAATTAAAGAAATGAAAATTACATCTCATAAGATCATCTTACAACTCACAAATTCGCAAGCAGTTTCTCAATCGTTGACACTCCTTTTTCATTGATGTGAATCGCATATTTTAGCCATTGCTGGGTGCATAATACCTCTATCATGTAGTGTGTCAAGCAGCTCCTATAAGGGTCCAATACTCTGCCGCTTGTGCTAAAAGCAGATTCAGAAGTAACCAAAGACACTTGTACTGCTAGAATATCCCTAGCTATTAGAGACAGAACCGGAAACAGTGGACTGTTTTTCCTCCACCATGATAAGACATCGTAATCTTGACCAACCATAAGTTTTGGTTTATCGATACTCTCTTTCAAGTACAGTTCCAACTCATTAGCCGAATCTTCAATTCATGTCTCCTCTACAAGCTAAGCGTATATGTTATCCATTCTTTGATAACCTATATCATTACGCAGAGTCCTTATCTCAAACACTTCACCTCTATAATACTGAGAAGACGATGTGCTCCTTGCGATCCAACAGTAGCTGTAGCTGTTGTACCATTTCGGCCCTCCACTAAACACTATATTCCTCATACAACGACTTCAAGGTGAACTCGACTGAATCAAACATATGCATTGCCTCGGCACTATCTTTGCCATAAAGCTCTTCAAAGCAAAGCTGAGCAAACTTCATCTTCTTCCTTGGGTCAAAAACACTTGCCGCTATTATCATCTGGTTCATTTCAACCTTATCTCTATCAACAAATGGATTCCAGTACTTGTCTAACTTACTAAGCATAGCTAAGGCGTTAGTAGACAACTCCAAGTCAGGACCAGAACTCGAGCTTAGTGCTTTGATGTTTGCTGTAATGGTGACTATCTCTTTTTTGCAGCTTATGGGCAGTGACAACGTTTGAAGATGAAAGTACCAATGTTGAACTATAGAAGATGATAAGGAATTGGACGAACCTGTCTACAGCTTCCCAATCAGTTTATTTTGGTGGTCTAATCCTCTTATTACCATCAGCTTCTTCCAAAAAGTAATCGCTATAAGGTAGACCTTCAGCTGCCATCTTCTCAAATGCCACTTTAAACTTCAGTGCTTGGTCTAACATGAGATAATTTGAGTTCCATCTAGTCTTGACATCTAAGGAAAGGCTACTTCTTGCCATCCTTCCTGATTCAACACGGAACTCAAAAGCCTTGAGTCTGCTAGTAGAAGACCTTACATATGTAATCCCATTACGAATAGCAGTTATACTTTCGTCAACCTCCTGCAAACCTTCCCTCACGATCAAGTTCAGAATGTGTGTGGCACATCATACATGAATAAAGTCTCCTCTGAGGACCAATGCATCATTTCCGAAAAGATTGAACTTTTTCTTGAATCATCATTGCTGAACTGTTAGCAGTGACATTGTCCACAGTTATGCATAACACTCGCTTTATATCCCACTCTTCCAACCACTCAAGCAAAGCATTGCTAATCGTTATTCTTTTATGATCGGAGACATTCTTGAAACCAATGATCAACTTCCTTAGCTGCCAATTAGGATCGATGAAATGAGCTGTTATTACCATATAACTAGCTCCGGGATATGGTGCAACCCATATATCCGTTTTCAGAGAAAACCTCTGCTTGTTCTGTCCCAGAATCCTCTTAATTGCAGCTTTTTTCATGATATACATCGCCACATTGTCTCTTGTGGCGGTTCTCCGAGAGTGAGGATGATACAACTGGACTTTAGACGTAAAATGTTTTCAAGCTAAGCTATCTACGAAGCCTAATGGCAGTTATCCTAGGATAATCATCTCATTCGTAGCTTCCCTAACTACAAATTCAGAAACCTTACCTATGCCAAGATTCCCAGCATCACTATTAGGAGTTAGCACAGTTTAATCACCCACTTTTCTAGAAGCTTTCCATGCGATGAATATATGCCTTGCAGCTGCCCATGTGTTTCTTCAGATTCGATGTGCCCGACTTGGTTGGACAAGCAAACTCTTTACGACATTAATCACAATTACACTTGTCGTAATTGTCTTCATGTCTTGTGAAGTGCTCCCAAAATTTTGATATAGTCTTCTACTTTGACTTAGAACCAGAAGCACTATGTCCTTCAGTTTCTTTTCTCTTGTCCTTGCCTTTCGGATCAGGAGTTGGTGTTTGAACATCTTCTTCATCTGTTCCATCTAGATCATGTACATCCATAGGAGCATCGTCGTGGATTGGACTATTACAAGACGCCATCTGCAACGCATTGAAAACAAAATTTTGATCCATATACATGTAAACATATCAATATGAAATCATAAAAAATGGCAGAAAATAAACGGATTGAAAAAGAAAGTCTTCATTCTGAACCAGTATAAGACCACAAATATAAAGCTACTAGATTCAACTGGAATCAGTTTAAGAATGCAGACATAAAGCTTCTCAGTATGCATCGGCTAATAGACATCAGATTTTGGGTTTTTGCAAACAACAATCGGTTCATAATATGTTTAGGGTTTAGACTGTATGTTCGAATTGGAATCCAGTTTTTACCAAAAGAATGGAATTAAAGTCCGATTCATGATAATACAAGAGTCTAGACGAAGACTTTCTAAGCAAATCGAGTGTTTGGCTTCAACATGCAAACTTCAAAACAGAAAAAAATGGTGGAGGATCAATTCTAAGGGATCGTTTGGGGGCTAGGGATTTTGTGAGAAGGCTGATGGTGGAGACAAAGATGGAGATGGTTTGGAGAATGCTGATGGAAGAGACAAAGATGGAGATGGTTTGGACCGTTTGGGGGCTAGGGATTCCAGTTTTAATGAATGGGGTTGATTTTTCGAGGGATAAGTGGTTGAGTTCTTCGAGCCTGCTCCGTCTGTGGTCGAATAGAAAAGGTTCGGGGAGCAGAATCGTTAAAGGTACTCGAAGAACGAAGAACCCTAGGTTAGATATGTCATTATGTTATGTTGAAACTCATGAGTAGGGTAATAATGATATATATTATAGGTTTAAGGTTTGTCTCGGTATCCGAGGAACCAACCGGTTCTCGGATAATACCCAGTCCCGAACGGATACCCACGGGTCTAGATGGCAGGAACCTTCGGATATTATTGCATCCGACAGATTTTGTGAGAAGGCTGATGGTGGAGACAAAGATGGAGATGGTTTGACCGTTTAGGGGCTAGGGATTCCAGTTTTAAGGAGTGGGATTGATTTTTTTGAGGGATAATTGGTTGAGTTCTTCGAGGCTGCTCCATCTGTGGTCGAATGGAAAAGGGTCAGGGAGCAGAATCGTTAAAGGTACTCGAAGAACGAAGAACCCTATGTTTGATATGTCATTATGTTATGTCGAGACTCGTGCGTAGGGTAATAATGATATATATTATAGGTTTAAGACCTGATCGGTTCTCAGATAATACCCGGTCCCGAACCGATACTCATGGGTCTAGATGGAATGAACGATCAGATATTATTGCATGTATCCGAATCCACTCTGAACCGGGTTTTTTGGGTCGGTTCCAGGTCGGGTCTTCGGGTCCGGGAAAAATGCCCAGCCCTAGGTACAACCACAACATTTTCTATTTCCATTTGTTCATTCATGAATACTAATTATATTTGCCACACAAATCCTAAATCTCCAAAATGTACTATTAATATTACACAATTAAGAATAATACGTCCAATGCTATATGATGTTATAAATTTAAGAAAAATTTAGGTTTCTAAAATATAATGTTGACTTAAAATGTATCAAAATTATTTCTAATAGTTTGAAATCCAAGTATTTTCTAAAATTTTTACAGATCATGACCAATTTGAATTTTTTTCTACAAGATTTTGCACCAGAATTTTATTCTCTTTGTTTGGAGATTTTAACATTTCATATCATGATAATGTTTTTAAAAACTTCTCATTGTAAAAATATATCTATCAATGATTGAGTTCTATCGAGAAAATTGATCATGTTTATTACAATTGTTGTTTAAATTATTTTCAATGTCAATTGTAATAGTTATCTTTTATATGGATGTATATGTTGAGTTAAACATTGTTATATTAACTGTAAACTATGACTCAAATAGAAATGTGTATTAATTGTTTTGTACAGTTTCATTCATCTTTGTATCTTTATATGTTTGAAAGTCATATCTATTTATTTTGTTTATAATAGTAGTTATTTAAGAAAAACTGAATATTCACATCTAAATATCATCACCTCTTGTTATATATATGTTCACTTAAATATATTTAAAATAATTAAGAGTTTAAAATACTTAATTTTTCCCGTGTTTTTGCGAAGGCTCGAGACATAATATAATTAATAATAATATAGAGAATAATAACAATGAATCTGAATCACAAAGAAAAAAAACTGTTATAAACTATGACTTATATATGTCATAAAGTGAGAGATTTATGTTCTATGTATATATGTATACAATATATGTGATAATATATTAGAAAGTAAGTGGAGAGAGAGGAGGAAGAATGCTTTCTTTCTCTTATTATTTCTCTTATTCATGTTCTTAATTCCACAAAGAGCCAGTACACATATTTATACTAAGTAAGAATACATAAAATAATAAGAAAGTAAGTCGATAAAACTAAGAGGTGGTGATGGATAATTATCCATTTCTAAAACTCCCCCTTAATTATCCATCACTCCATTAACGTATTACGTATTGCTTCATTAAAAATCATAACATGAAAAAATCCAATGGGCTAAAAACCATGAAAAAGGGAAAATAGTACAATAACGTAATCTCTCTCTGAAAAAATGGATATAATCTTCTCTTCATAGATTGTTGATTCGTCTTGATCTCATCAATGTAATAAATTATCTTCAATGGGATTATACATTCCTCTTTAGATATATATCATGTCGTGTGTTCTTTGATATTCGATTAATAACCTTGTCCTAGAAAAGTCCAGCAGGATAAAAACCATGACAAGAGAAAAAAAAATGCTTCCATACGCTTAATCATACTTCTTCTGGAAGTATTCCTCTTTAGATGTTTATCTTTTTGTGTCTTATTTGCTGCTTCATTTAAATCTTCGTCATGAAAAAATCCATTGGGATAAAAACCATGATAAGAGAAAAAGAGTGCAGCCACGAATATAAACACAACTCTCCCCCTGAAAACTTCATCTTCAAGAGATGAATTCCAATTATATACACTTTCTTTTTGAGATCTTTATAAGTAGAACCTTAGTGAAAAGACTCATATGATCGTCATTCTCGGATCATTGGACTTCTGGTTCATAATTCAAGTTAGTCATGCTCTTTTTAAATACTTCTCCAAGTACTCTAATTTGAAACTCTTCTTTTGATCATTGTACCAAACAAAATTTTCAGATGCTTCAAGCATCTTTGATCCTTCTGGGATTCTTATCAATCTATAACTGAATGTGATTACATTTATGACTGGGAAACATGTATCAATTTCCGGTCTTTGAGAAAAAAAATTGTGTCACAAACTGGGCTTTATATCTTGTGTCTTTGTTTTTTTCATTGTTTTCGAAAAAGACCCATTTGGTCTCGAATGGCATTATATCTTTAGGTGTAATAACCATAAATCAGACATTTCCTTTTACTGATTCTTCTAGAATCCTTTCATTTTTATACTCCAATTTTATTTTTTTTTCAGGAGAATTTTAAAGTCCATCGTCCTCCCCCTTTTTAACTGAACCTTGAGTCCATTTACTCTACTCCAATGAATTTTGTTCTTCAGGAACAATAATTCTTGTGGAGTACTTTCAAGTTTTTAGAACTTCAAATTCACGATATTTTTTAAGGAGGATCAAATAGCATTTTCTTTGGATATGATTAAATCTGAGCTTTTCTATATGTTAGATCCTGTTAGATCTTTCGAGATGAGATGTTCAATTGTGATACCAGCAAAACAAACTGAACATAATTTTCTTTTCTGAAAGGCATCATATCTTATGACTAAATCAAGGATCACTTTCTTTAATCCATCTATCAGTTAACCTCAACTAAATTTATTTAACCCCATGCAACATATATTCATCAAGTAGAGTTCCTGGAAACATAATTCTAATATTATTAATCCTTTAGGGATTTCCATTTTAAGATGTTACAATATCTACAAGGCCCAGTTCAAGTTGTTCATTTTCTGCCAGACTTAATATTACTTTTAATGTTTGGACTGCTGGTCCAAAACTTTTTCATTTTTCATATAAGTTTACCATAGACTTGATTGCCTCTTTTTACTTTTTGGCCAATATTTTCACTTTCTACACTCATCCATAGATGTAGATTTATGATCCTCATTCATATCAAATCGCGCGCTATCTTATTTATTGTCAACAATTAAGATGTCTTTGTTCCATATTTTTCCGTAAAGGTATTGTTGATTGAAATCTCTATATCAATGATATCATTCATATACATGATTTTATTATTAACCATATCAACAGATCTCTTCAGGAGATTCATCATCTTTTTAATATATATTTGCTCATTTCCTTTTGAGGATTTTATATTTGAAACCAAAGTAGTATATCAGATTCTAACATGCCATAGACTCCTTATTGATAAATCGTTCTTCAGGGACATATATAATCCATGGAGCATTTTGATCTAGAATTGAGATCTTCTATCATTGTATGTCTGGCATTTATATGTGAATTATCCTTTGAACTACAGATTCAAAATTATTTATACGAG